TTAGAAGACATGTGTTCAGTTTAAGGAAAGGCCAAGAAGGAGGACAACTTTGATACCTGAATTTCAATACTGAGAAGCTACTATATTGAGCTCGACCGTCCAAGAAGAAGAAGAAGTGGAGCCAAGTCAGCCAACTATAGAAGAGCTGAGGTGCATCCGAATTCAGAAATGAGAAGCTACGAATGGGTGAAGAAGAATTGCAGAAGTATCTGCATGGAAGAAGTATTGGACGGATGGCGATGAGGCTGGGCGGCTGGCTACGAAAAAAAGAAAGAAATTTTGAGAAGTGAAAGAACCCTAGAAGTAAGCAAGTTTGCCGTTTGCCAATGGGATTGACCAAACAAATATCTTAATGAATTTGATGTGATTCAAATTTTAATTATTATTATTATCATCAATCATCATCATCATTCTTATTATTGTGATTATTAGAATTTGAACTGGGAATGCACTCACACCCCACAAGGCATGTTTCCTATCTTAATTCAGTTCAGATCCGCCCAGTACTACTAGATGACCTATTTCACAGTTTCAATTCAACACACAATTATCACTAATAAGTTTTATATTGTGATAACTCCGCTCTTTGGGCATGTTTCAGTATCACTGATAGATTTATTAAATTAAACTAAAACTCAGTTTCATATATAAATTTGAGTATCAAATCTCTTAGAAGCTAACATGTGTCAAGTTTTAGAGATGACATGTGTCAAGCCTTAGAGAGGACATGTGGCAAATTTAATATGAATTGCTTTCTTTTTTATTTTACTTTCTTATTTTTCATCTCTTCAAATATCACACCTTTTCACTCCTTTTTCCAAAAAAAAATGATAATTACTTATTTCAAAATTCATGAATCTAAATATTGTGTTAATATGTGATATATCAATTTTAATAAAATATTATATTGTAACAATTATACATGAAAAGTTTGTTTAATTTTAATACTTGACTCAAATTTAATAAATCTTAAAATTTACAAAACGAGTTTTAGATGTATGTATGCTTTTCTAGGGAAAAAGACTAAAATAGAAGTAAAACATTAAAAATATGAAAAAATCTAAAAAAAAATATGAAGAATACATATAAGTAATGTTTATGTAAAAAAATCGGAAAATAAAAAGGTACACGTCAATTATTTATTACATGCAAATACATCAAAAGATCTAAGAGATTTAGCTATTTTATCAAATGGTTAATAAAAAGATACACATCCTGATATTGGTTTCCTCATTATGGAAAAATATTAACCAAATATAGTTTTCTAAAATAAAATAAGGATTGCATATCAATCACCTAATTGAAGATAAAATGTTTAATAAATAAAAGTACTACATTGTGTGTCTCAATATTTTATAAAGAGAATAATAATAGGGAATACTATATATATGGTTTAGTATATTCTATAATCGGAATGGTTGAAAAAATATTGGAAATTAAGGGTGTATTTGGTTAGGGAGGGATATGTTTTTTCAGGGCCGGTCTTAAAGATTCATTGGCCTGGGCCGAAACAGAAAAAAAGGCCCTAAAAGTCTTATCCTTAATGGTCTAACAAATTCACATATGTAAACTAATTATATTTAATTATAATTAAGGCAACATTATTCAAAGAAAAAAATAAATGACAAAATTACAGTATTATAATTACATACCGTAAAAGCTAGCTGAGGATTCAAGAAGTTTTTTTTTCTTTTTTGATTACCGGATAAATATTTAGGAGCCATAACTATTGAATTATTTCTGAAATAAAATCTAAATTCATAAATTCTACTACTTAGTAAAATCAAATATAGAAAAGCAATAAAATAAATCAATATATCATAAATTCATATCAATTCGTCAATTGTTTTTTTCATTTTCAGTTTCAATTTTTTATATATCATAAATTCATATCGAATCGTCAATTTTTTAGTTTTTAATTTTTTTCCTTTTTCATCAATTTTTTTTAGTTTTCAGTTTTTTATATACAAATATATCATAAATTTAAATCAATTCATCCAAATCAAATAAGTAACATATAGAACCATTAATTCACTATATTTCATAGCAATTAACAAGAATTTCAAATTAATAATTAATAATTAACCCTAGATTTTAAATCTAAAGAATGAAACAATGAAAGAAAATTAAGAAATAAGAATTACAAAATTGGAAAGCTATGAATATGGAAATACGAAATACCTGGAGGCTGGAGCTTGAGGGTCGGCTTCCGGCGGTGCGTCTGGCGGCGGCGGAGGCGGCGGCTTCTTCCGTTCTTCCGTCTGTAGTTCCGTTCGTGGTTGTCCAGCCTTCTTCCGTTCGGTTCTTCTTCCGTGGCTATGTGCGTAAGTCAAAGTCCAAGTAAAAGGATGGATTGGGGGCTTTGGGGCATTGGGCTTTACACATTTGGGTGGGCTTCTTGTACCCATATATATATAACACGGAGTATTAAAAAATACTTTTGGGCCACTTAAATTTATACTCCGTATTATTTATTACTCCCTCCGTCCTATAATGATCTTCCCAGAGCACTATTCCAACTTCACGGGAATTTATATTTATTTGTGTTTTTTCATGGCCCATATGATAAAATAAAATATTCTTGTCACCACTTGTTTTGTTGAACTTTTGATGTAGTTTTTAAATATGCATGTTTTATTTTTTATTTCTATACCAATATTTAAATAAAATATATTGAAAAAACTTGGGATTTTTCTTCGTTTTGCGAACCGGGAAGATCATTATAGGACGGAGGGAGTATTATTTTTTATTGGAATAAGATCAGATTAAAACACAAAGAGTTTTAAATATAACTACATTCAAATAAGATCAGATCATACTATATCAGATCAAAACTTATTTCATTCAATTCAGAATCAGGTGAAAAGAACATGACCTTACACGAAAAATTAATCTCCCCCATCACCACCACATGTTTTACTATTTGGCAGGAACAATTTTTTTTGCCCAAAACATTTTCTATTTTTTGTTAGGAAGAGATTTTTTAATTGGGTACATTGTTGAATTTTTTGTTGTTGAACATATATTGCAATGTAATATCAGTTCATTTCTACATTATTGATACTTGAATAAAAAATAAAGATATTTTGAGATATTTTTTATATGTTTTAGGGAGTACATCTAATTTGTTTTTTATACACGATAGCTTCCAAATTTTCATTATAAAGTTTTTTTTGTCTAAGATTTGGGTGAAGGGCGTGAGACAAGGGAAGGAGTGAGTGGGAAATGGAGTAAGTTTTTTGCTTTGTTCGTAAAATTATAGCATAAGATACATTTTTTAAAAAATAAACTTTCATCAAAGCAAAGAAAAGTCTTTTTTCTCGCTCTAAGAATAATATATTTCTAGCTCTCTTCTGTGTTAACTATTCGGCCGAGGTTGATGGACCCTCGAGAATGTGGTTAGCTATAATATTTTATTTTTATTTTCTAGACCCAAAAACATAAACTATTTATAAAATCAATCTTTTTATTCAAAAACTGGGTCGTTGGGAAGATCTCGTGAAAAGGCGACCTACAACATATAGTTTTATGTTTGGACTTACATATAAAAAAATTTGAATGAAAAATGATGAAATAGATGTTATAGATCAATAAATAAATATAAAGATTTTATACTATAATAATAAATAATAAAAAAAGATATGTAACATCCCATTCCTACAACAAATATGAAACCCAAACCCCATTAGTATATTATACATATAGAATATACAGAAAAGTTTACCCCTGAATTCTTCGGAAAGGATTTACCCTTGAATATTAAAAAATGCACCAAATATTCCTAAAATTTTCAAAAATTGCACAGTTTACCTTTGAACATTAAAATGTGTACCAAATACCTCTGAACTCTTCAATAATTTTGAAATTTACCACTAAAAATTTAAATAAAGGCAATAATTTTGGAGAAACGTACTTTGGAGAATTCACAAGGACCAGATAAATCATACTCGCAGCTCTTGCGCGTGGGAGAACTGCACTCTCTATTTAGCATTTTAGGACCAACGGTGCAATATTTTAAATTTTTTATGGGTATTTGGTGTATTTTTAATGTTCAGGGATAAATCGTGCAATTTTCAAAGAGTTCAATGGTAAATGATGCACTTTTCAATGTTCAGAGGCAAAATATAAAATTTTCTAAAGTGTTCGGGGGTAAGCACTGCACTTTTCTCTATACAACATACACACACCTCTACTGGAGGATACGAGGGATTAAAGAAAAAGAACGGAGCTGCCGATCGAGGACAAAACGGAAGCTGCGGAGCCCAAGAGGGTTGTCGATCACTGCTTCGTTGGGTGGTTGAGATCCCTATCTCTCCTTTGAAACGATAGTTTATAGATCTTCGTGCGCATGTTTGTAGCACATGGCTCTAACCTTTCTATACTTATGACATAATTTGCCTCTATATGCGTGCAGATCAAATCTTTTATGATTGATTTTAACATGCCAATTTGAATCACCCAAGACCTAGTGATTGCAAAAATCATGGCTTGTAAAGAGATACTATACTACTATCTTAGCTTAAAAATAATGACTTTCATGAAGTCCAGCTGTTCTCAGAAAGTTTGAATTTTGTCAAAGCTTTACAAGAGGGAAATGAAGCTTCTTATCGTTCTTATTACGGTGTTTTTGTTGATGTTTGCTTGTATTTTGTTGAATTTTGACATACTTTGACGTTATTACTTTTATCTTTTATTCGTCGGGAGTGTAATAAAGAGACTCATTTCTTGGCAAGAAGAGCCAGAGCCCAGTTTGGGGAGTGAGATTCCCCTCCTAGTTTTGTTTAAAATGATTGTTTAGTTTGTTAAAAAAATTAAATTATATAAAGAAATTAACAAAAATAATATACTCGTTATTTGTGAATTTTGAAACAATTTATTTACTCAATTTGTTACTCTAGCTGTCTCGCATTATTACTCGGTATAACCCTTTTATTTTTTCTAGCGGACTCAGCACGAAGCCCGTATTTATAATTTTACTCTATAAATCGATCTTCCGTTTCCTGCAAGAGAGCATCGTTCAGACGTCATTCATCGCACTTTTCTCCGTCTCAAATCAAAGCATCATTGTTCCGGTAAAGATTCCCCTTAAACGAATCTCATGTTTTCAATTGGGCGTGTATGGATTTCATTTCGTTTCGGATTTTCTGCTAACTGCTGTGATTGCCTGGAATAATCGGATCGCGATGTTTGTGATTTGATCTTTTTCGGTATATTCAGGTGATTTTTCCCCCTATTTTTGGGGGCAAATTACAGCGGTTGATGGGGAAAGGAGGCCAGGGCGCTGGGAAGAAAACAAGTTTAGATGATAGAATGGCGTCAGAGAATGGAGTATTTCCAGCATGGGCGAAGGATGCCAATGACTGCTTGGAGAAATTTCAGGTGAACCAGGACAAGGGCTTGTCCAGTGAGGAAGCCTCCAAGAGGAGGCAAGTCCATGGTCCGAATGAATTGGAGAGGCACGAAGGCCCGTCGATTTTCAGATTGATTTTGGATCAGTTCAACGACACTTTGGTGAGGATTTTGCTGGCCGCTGCTGTGATTTCATTTGTATTGGCTTGGTATGATGGGGATGAAGGTGGCGAGATGGAGATTACAGCATTCGTGGAGCCTCTCGTGATCTTTTTGATCTTGATAGTTAATGCCATAGTTGGGGTTTGGCAAGAGAATAATGCTGAAAAAGCTCTGGAAGCTCTGAAGGAAATTCAATCTGATCATGCCACCATAATCCGTGATGGAATCAAAACATCTAACTTGGCTGCAAAGGAGCTTGTTCCAGGCGATATTGTTGAGTTGAAAGTAGGAGACAAAGTACCAGCCGACATGAGGGTATTGCGATTAATCAGCTCAACCCTTCGTGTTGAACAGGGGTCTTTGACGGGAGAGAGTGAAGCTGTCAGTAAGACCACAAAGGCTGTTGCAGAAGATGCTGATATTCAGGGGAAGAAATGCATGGTCTTTGCTGGCACAACAGTTGTGAATGGTAATTGCATTTGTTTGGTTACTCTTACTGGGATGAGGACCGAAATTGGAAAGGTTCACTTGCAGATCCATGAAGCATCACAGTGTGAGAATGATACACCATTAAAGAAAAAGCTGAATGAGTTTGGAGAGGTTTTAACGGCCATCATTGGAGCAATCTGTGCTCTCGTATGGCTTATTAATGTGAAATACTTCCTTTCTTGGGAGTTTGTTGATGGATGGCCTAGGAATTTCAAGTTTTCATTTGAGAAGTGTACTTACTACTTTGAAATTGCAGTGGCATTGGCTGTTGCTGCCATTCCTGAAGGTTTACCAGCTGTCATTACAACTTGTTTGGCACTTGGCACACGTAAGATGGCTGCTAAAAATGCCCTTGTTCGCAAGTTGCCCAGTGTTGAAACACTAGGTTGTACAACAGTTATTTGCTCTGATAAAACGGGGACTTTGACTACCAATCAGATGGCTGTAGCTAAACTCGTTTCCATGGGTTCAAAGTCAAGTGCTCTGCGATCATTCAATGTGGAGGGGACTACGTATAACCCTTTTGATGGGAAAATACAAGATTGGCCTTCCCGTGAAATGGATTCCAACCTTCAGATGATCGCAAAGATTGCTGCTCTGTGCAATGATTCTGGTGTTGAAAAATCTGGGCTGCACTATGTTGCTACTGGATTGCCAACTGAGGCAGCATTAAAGGTAAACTGTGGGCTCGTTCTTTTTAATCCAGAATTGAAATAGGATTATATGCTTTCTTTTATAAGGATTGGCATGTACTTCCCAGTTCCCATTATATTCTAAGTCTAGATCGACATATATCCATTGTTGTGTGAACCTTATTTAGCCATGATTTATTAAAACTTTTATAACACTGTGTTCACATTGATCATTTTCTTAAAAACAAACAAGTTTTGTTTCAAAATCTCGCTCTACCTATGGCGTGACATTGGACCCTTATATCCTTCAAAGGATATTTTTTCGTTATCGCGGGCTTCTTTATTTTATTCAGGTTCTGGTTGAGAAGATGGGGCTACCGGTTGGACTGGATTCTAGTTCTTCTACAAGTCATGGTGATGCCTCATGTAAGTCAAAGGTGTTTTTTGGTTTAGCATTTTTTGGGGTGGTTTATATTTGATATTTCATTTTGGCACTAACTGAATGTCTCAAAGGTTGCTCGTCTGCATGGAACAATATTGAACGGCGCATTGGTACTCTTGAATTTGACCGTGATAGGAAGTCAATGTCTGTTATTGTGAGCTCCAGCTCTGGGAAAAAGTCATTGTTCGTGAAGGTGTGTGCTGTATTGGAATCGGATTATTCAATTAGGGCCACTATACCACATGATGCATAAAACTAAGCGTGAAATCAATGAATAGTAAAGTGTTGAAAAATAAAAAATTTATAGTTATAATTTGTTTAGAAAAGAGTAGAGTCGAGAGCCACTAATCCATTTCTTTTAAATGAAAGCTAAATCTTTTTTGGTACAAATAAAAGGGAAATAATGATTTTTTATGGGATGGAGGGAGGGGCTACATCATATTTTACTGCAACTTAAGAGATAGTTCTTTCTTGTCTTCTTGAATCCGGTTTCATTTATTCTTATTAATGCAGGGTGCAGTTGAGAATTTGTTAGAAAGAAGTACTCATATGCAATTGATGGATGGTTCTGTTGTAGAACTTGATCACAATTCGAAAGATCTAATTTTGAAAAGCCTCATTGATATGTCCTCTAAAGCATTACGTGTCCTTGGTTTTGCATATAAGGACAATCCACCTCAATTTGAAACATATAATGGCCATGAGGATCACCCTGGTCATGCTCTATTACTAGATCCCGCTAATTACCCTTCCATTGAGAGCAATCTTATATTTGCTGGAATGGCTGGGATAAGGGTGAGCAATGATTTTCCCCCCTCATAATCCAATATTTTCTCACTGATCAGTGATAAAACATCTCACTGCTGTTGTTGTGAACCTGTGGTGACAGGACCCCCCTAGGCCAGAGGTACACCAAGCTATTGAGGATTGTAGAGAGGCAGGGATTCGCGTGATGGTAATTACAGGTGACAACAAGAATACAGCTGAGGCTATTTGCCGTGAGATTGGCGTTTTTGGATACAATGAGGATTTCAATTCTCGGAGCTTGACTGGAAAAGAGTTCATGGAACTTCGTGACCCAAAATCACATCTAAGACAAAATGGAGGGCTTTTGTTTTCTAGAGCAGAGCCAAGACACAAACAAGAGATAGTGAGACTGCTCAAAGAAGACGGTGAGGTGGTTGCAATGACCGGGGATGGAGTGAACGATGCACCTGCCTTAAAGCTGGCCGATATTGGGATTGCTATGGGCATTACTGGAACTGAGGTAAAAATGCAAATCAATTCTGTACTTGTACACTTAGATGATTCCTACACTCTAACTATTCATGCAAAATTATGCTGGAACAAACTTTCGAGTAATAAGTTTGTTTCCCTGTTGCTGCAAGATATTTTTTGATGGAAAATGCAATGCAAACAGTATATATTCTTGCTCTTGATCTGTAGTTGTGTTGGATCCAAGTGTGTACTAAATAATGTTTGTTCATGGTCTTACTGCCAAATCCTCTGTTTTTGACCAGGTAGCAAAGGAAGCATCTGACATGGTTTTGGCCGATGATAATTTCAGCACAATTGTGGCTGCTGTTGGTGAAGGCAGGTCCATTTACAACAACATGAAAGCCTTCATCAGGTCCATTTATTGCAACTTTTTCTTTCATTCTCTTGTGCTATGTTTTTGGCCATTGCTTTCTCTGAATTCTGTTCGAATATTTGGTGATTATTGGTTTGACCGGCAATTTTAATGTAATGCTTAATTTCTTCAACGACTTGTTTTGCATACTTTTGGAGCTTTGACCTGGCCCATCTTAAATCTCTTACTAGTTGACGTGCAGGTATATGATTTCATCAAACATGGGAGAGGTTGCTTCTATCTTCCTTACAGCCGCGCTAGGTATTCCTGAGGGCTTGATCCCAGTTCAGCTTCTTTGGGTCAACCTGGTTACTGATGGACCCCCGGCAACGGCATTGGGTTTCAATCCTCCAGACAAAGATATAATGAAGAAACCACCCAGGAGAAGTGAAGACTCACTCATCGATACCTGGATACTGTTCCGCTATCTGGTATGCATTTTTTTAAAACTCTGGATGGATGGTATTATATGGGAATACTCGGGAGGTTTTTTACATCACAGTTCCATGTAAAGGAACTCATTTTAAAATTAAAAATCAAATGCCTACAAATTTTAGTGAATCAAACTTCCTAGTTATTGTTCTCACCTTCAAACAATATTTTCTTTATGCATTCAATTTTTTGTTAAAATAATAGTCAAGTAACCTCTTGTTCCGTAGAACTTTTGATGTACCCCATAGTTTTTAAATATGTATGAGTATTTGTTTGAATTCTACATCAATTATTTAATAAATTGAATGGAATATAACACCAGTCAAACATTTTAAAGCGTAATGAGAAGTTTATTATGGGACTGAGCGAGTACCTTTTTTTTGCATCACTTGACCCCTCGCCCACCTAGCCACACACATTCACACTCTCTCCGCCTTTTATAAAACTTAACAGTTTGTCTGCTGTGGTTCTCAATGAGTTAAATGATGTTTGACTTCCAAAATTGCTCTTATATTATGTGGTTGGGAATAATTATTGATTGTAGAGGATAGTAAAGCAAGACTCATGCTTTGTTTAGACCAGGAGAGAAAATGGAAAGAGGGAAATTGAGAAGAAAATGAAGACAAGAGAAAATGGAAAGAAAATGATTATTGTTTGGAATTTGGATGAGTAGAAAATGTAGAGAAAAAGTGAAAAAAGAAAAAAAAAGAAGAATAGAATGATGCTTTGTCCCATTTTCTTCCCAAATGTGGAGGGAAAAGTGTTTATGTGGGCCCTGCCACTTTTTTCTTTTTCCTTTACTCTTCCTATTTGTTCCCCATCCAAACAAGAGAATGCTTTGAACTCCATGTTTTCTCATCTCCAATTTTCTCTCCCTTTTATCTTCAATCAAACATGCAATAGGTTTTACCAAATCTGAAAGATGACCTCATTAGGGACGGAGAGGGTATGCATGTGTAGCAATGAACATTTGTTGGTTTTTAAAAGCATTTTACAATTAATAAAAGACTAACCCCTCCAAAAGACCAAAACCTTCTCTATACCGTTCCAAAATTTGTCATCCTTAAACTTTTGTTGCTGGTTGAGCAGTGTAATATGGGTGAAATGTTGAATCTAGCGAACATTTTTACAGAAAAACTTTTGGCAACATCTATTACATTCAAATGACTAAGGAAAAAGCTATGATAAAAAAATAAGTCAAATGCTATCTATTCTATTATTTCTGATTTTGATATTCTGCTACCAAATGGAGTCTTTTCATCTATTCCGATTATATGGAGTTGTATTCTTACCATTTAATCCTGGGATGCAGGTGATTGGTTCTTATGTCGGTCTTGCAACAGTTGGAATCTTTATTATATGGTTCACCCATCATTCTTTCCTTGGCATCGACTTAAGTGGGGATGGTCACAGCCTGGTGACCTACTCCCAACTCTCAAACTGGGGGCAGTGCAGTTCTTGGAAGAATTTCACCGCTTCCCCATTCACAGCAGGGTCTCAGGTTTACAGCTTCAACGACAATCCATGCGATTACTTCCAGACTGGTAAAATCAAGGCCATGACGCTGTCGCTCTCCGTACTGGTTGCCATTGAGATGTTCAATTCCCTGAATGCCCTTTCGGAGGACGGAAGTCTCTTAACCATGCCCCCTTGGGTCAACCCATGGCTTCTAGTGGCCATGTCTATTTCCTTCGGCTTGCACTTCTTGATCCTTTACGTGCCTTTCCTAGCTCAAGTCTTTGGAATCGTTCCGCTTAGCCTGAACGAGTGGTTGCTGGTGCTGGTGGTCGCATTGCCTGTCATATTGATAGACGAGGTTCTCAAGTTTGTGGGTAGGAGGATGAGTGCTCGGACAAGGGGGATGAAACCCGAGAAGCACAAGGCAGAATAAAAATCTGATAAGATCCCGACATTGTTTGGATTCACTAGACATTTGTAATGCTTTCAGAAGATAGGATTCATTTAGAAGACTTGAAAAAAAACACATTTCCTCCCAAAGAAAATCACCCAACAGTTGGGGGGTTGATCATTAGGTTATATAATTGGGCATAAACCGCATCATATTTATTAAAATACCTTTGCAGAATGCAAGTTTTTGCACTATTTGCCATTTTTCCAACCCCCCACCCCCCACCCCCCACCCAATGCGAGATGATGCTAAAATGCTTGGTTTTGGCCTGTCTTTCATAGTTTCATTTTAATTTAATACTCCCTTATCTCTGTATTTCAAAGTTCAAGTTCTATTCATTTTCTTTCATATTTTCTATTTTGGAAGTTCAACGGTAGATTTTATATAGATGCGGGGCTATTTCCTCACTCACAACTCAAGAAAGCTGTGTTCTGTTTGTCTACTCTGATAAGATCTAATTGGATCTAATATGATTTAATTGTAGTTGTATTTAGAACTGTTTTTGATCTGGTTGAATATCATTTGATTGGATCTGATTTGATTTTAATAAATTTAAGTAGTACGCGGAAGAAATGAGTTGAACGGAACATACATCAATCATCTATAAAAGCCCCATCATTTTATGTGTGCAGTTACTCTTTGTCTAGTTTTGCCATTGTGTTTTCAAAAGCGATATAGTGAGTGACACCATTCTCTATCACTTTTCCTCAAAGAGCATTTAACGTCATATACACATATAAACTCCACTACCATGAAGACATTGTGCTTTCAAAGGCTTTTTGGCGACAAAACCCCTGGTAAAGTGTAAAAGACAAAGCACACAAGTATCAACTACATGAAGGGTGGACATCCATGCATACGGATGCAACCTTCTTCGAAGAGAACCTTGTGACGTGATGTGGAGGAGTATTGCGGGATGATCAAGGATTATGGGTCGCGAGCTTCAACTGCATGAAGAGATCTAGCAGTGCAACTGAAGGAGAAGTTTGGGTGTTATACAGTGGGATCAAATAGGCTTGGGATGAAGACAAAGCATCGCCTAGGCATCCAAACGCCCTTCTACCCTCTCGCCATGGGAGCTCGCATCGCCTTATTTGCAAACCTACCTTACCTAGGCGTCACCTTGACCTCACCTTTCCTCGTCTAGGCATCACCTTAGCCTCGCCTAGTCAAAGTACTTTTGTGTTTCTTACTCCAGTGCTTTAGTTTTTTTAAGTCACCCGGCTCTAGTGCTTTGTTTTTCTAATGCTTTACAAATTATATTATTTGCAAGTTAATATGTTTTTTTTACTTTATCTTCCTAATTAATTAATACTCGATGATTCATTTTTTAAATTTTAAATCATTAATTTATTTCCAACTTAAATTGGTAACACTTTTTTTCAATATTGTTTTTTTAAGGAGTGCTTAAAAGCAACTTTGGTAGTTAAACGTTGATGAATTAGAAAAACTTAAACTTTACCCACTACTATATATAATTTGATATATCTATATTAGTGTTTTAAATGTATAGCAATTCTCTTATACTCCTTCCGTCCGGAAATATTCTTTGTTGAGACTGTGTGTGCCCTCACCCCAACCCCACATTAGTATGATATTGTCCGCTCTGGGATAAGCCCTCACGGATTTGTTTTTGGGCACTTCCCAAAAGGCCTCATACTAATAGGGTTGGGTGAACCTATATATTTTGGTTCATTTACTCTTACTCATCCGGTGTGGGACTTGGAGGAATCCCAACAAACCTCCCCTCATCCAAGGACCACACAACTTCCGACCTCCCCTCCAGCGGTAATCTCCTTTTTTTTCTTTATCTGCTAACCATCTTGCACCGCCGCACACTCTTTGCGGGACACGCCGCCCGACCTCCTGTCGGGAAGACTTTCGACGCAAGGCTCGAACCGCAGATCTTTCCTTCGCTGCGCTACACCATTTGATCCGCCAAATCATCTTGTACCGCCGTGGCTATAACTTCACGGGACGCGCCGCCCGACCTCCTCTCGTCGGGAAGACTTTCGACACAAGGCACCACCTGGAGATCCTCTTTCTTGGTCCTTGGTCCTAGTTACACCGTCACACCGAGATTTTTTCACACTGCATAGTCCGCTACTCCCGCCCGCAAGAACCTGGGCTCCGATACCACATGTTGGGACTGCGCGTGCCCTCACCCCAACCCCGCATTAGTATGATATTGTCCGCTCTGGGCTAAGCCCTCACGGATTTGTTTTTGGGCACTTCCCAAAAGGTCTCATACTAATGGGGTTGGGTGAACCTATATATTTTGGTTCATTTACTCCTACTCATCCGGTGTGGGACTTGGAGGAATCCCAACATTCTTCCCATTTGATATTTTACGGTCTCCAAGATGTCACTTTGATCACTAATATCTTTATTTATACATGGATATATTTTATAAAAATTTGATATTTGAAAACTATATTTCAAAATGAATATATTCATATTAAAGTTATATCATAATACAATGTATTTTTTCCACATATTATAGTCAAAGTTTACAATCTTTGACCAAGAAAAATCAAACGGGAAGAATATTTCCGGACGGATGGAGTATTGTGTATCACCTAGGCGGTCGCCTAGTCGACTAGGCATCCAAGTGGTACCCTACCCCAATGCCACGCCTCGACTTGGCACCGTGATAATTATGATCACATGATTAAAAAATGGATGTGATTGTAAAAAAAATTAAAAATAACTCCATAATAATAATTCGAATATTGAAATCAAATTAGTAATGTGAATTGGCCCTCTATGATTCCAAGAAAAGAATGATGAGTGAAACATATGATGATGGTTTCAAATGTTGCAAGACCCACACAAGAACCAATCACCTGGATCTCACACACGAAAGGCTCCTTTTGGTAGCAGAATAAATAGAATAGGTAGCTTTGGTGTCCCCCTCCCCCCCCCCCCAGAATTTTTCTTGTAATTAAAATAATATATTAAAAACATTCTGTTCAATTTTTTTGAAGCTACATTTTGTTAAAAGTAGAATTTTTTGAAAAGTTCTCACATTTGATTCTCTCTGCACTAACTAGTTCATCCATCTACCGCCACCGTTGATTGAGCGTGGCTCATCTCCGCCTTCCCATCCACACGTAAACCATTGACGACAATAATATTCTGGTGATTCCCCGGAATATAAATCTACTTGGTGTGTCATCCTGTGTCAAACAACAAAAACCAAACACATTTAGGACGACGAATAAAACATTATTGTTCTCACATTTAAGTATTTATGTTTTAGTCTTGTTTAGGTAAATTACCATCAAATAATACGAGTGGAATGCAAGGGTTTTGACTGTCATTTCTTTACACATTTAACTTCAGAAATACATTAAACACATTCAGTTAGTTCCAACATGGAAATATCAATTATAAGCCACCCCAGAAATGTTAAACCAAAACAAAACTTATACTTACGTGGGGCATCCGGGCATCCACATGACGTTTAGAAGAACTAGAATATGGGCCAACAGGTGCCCCCCTCTTCTCAACCAGAATCTGAATCAAATACAGAAGCCCGTGATAAAGATAAAGTCACCTTCAACAAGGAAAAAAAGAAAGTATCAAACATGATAAGGGTTCATTATCACGCCAGAGGGCAAAAACACGATGTGAACACAATGTTATAAAAATCTTAATAAATGCTAGCTAAATATGGTACGCACCACGATGGCTCTATGTCGATATGGACTACGAACATAGTGGGAACTATTGAAAGTACATGCTAGTCCTTATAAACGAAAGCATAAAATTCGAAATCAATCCAAGAATGAAAGGGATGAGTGCATTAGTTTAACTTAGATACTGCCTCATCAGTTGGCAACCCAGTAGCAACATAACGCAGCCTATATTTTTCAACACTATAATCATTGCACAGAGCAGCAAGGTTTGCGATCATCTGAAGATTGGATACCGTTTCGCATGATGGCCAATTTTGTGTTTTCCCATCAAAAGGGTTATATGTAGTCCCCTCCACTAGGGCTGTTCATCGGTCTAAGACCGGACCGAAGACCGGACCTAAATCTACTCGGGTTTGGACCGGACCGGACCGAAATATTTAGGACCGAACCGGTCCGGACCGATTGGACCGAAAAGAATACATATTTTTTTAATTATTTTGATCAATTAAATATATTTTAGACTTTTTACTTTGTACCATTCAAATAGAAAATGAATAAAAAAAATATGCAACCTTAAAATGAATACACAATATGAACTATTTCAATGTAGAAACATAAAAACAAATATGAAATGTTTTTTTTAGATTTTTTAAAAAAGTACATAATAAAAAACCTTTTTAATTAAATAAATTAAAATATCTATTAAAATAGAGCATTAAAGTGTAATACGGAACTTAAAAAGTAGAGTTTTAGTATTTAGGTCTTTTAGGTCCAGTAGGGTCATTAGGTCCAACCGGTCCAATCGGTCCGGACCTAAATCATTTCGGGTTTTTGGACCGGACCGGACCGAAACCCGAACGTCTAAATTTTCTAGACCGAAGACCGACCCGAAATTCATTCGGTCCGGGTTCGGTCTGGACCTAACGGTCCGGTTCGGTCGGTTTTTTCGGTCTTGACCTAAATGTGAACAGCCCTACCCTCCACATTGAATGATTGCATTGAGTATAAATAATTTATGAATTACTCCGTATTTAAAACTTAAAAAAATATTTTAAATTTCAAGTCAAATACACATATTTAATTAGAAAAAAACATTTTGGGAAACACTTCATTATAAATGATTATTTTAAAAATTAATTTTAAATTTAGCAGATAAAAAATAATTCTAAATTATAGCAGAGAAAAAATAATTCTAAATTTAGCAGAGAAAAACCATTTTAAGAATTAATTCTAAATTAATCCCCATTTGAGTAACATTATTTATGAAGGATCATCTTGAGAATAAATCTCAATTATAAATGCACACCTAGGTAATTAAAACTTATTGAGGACTACTTTGGAAAAAACCTTATTACAAAGGATTATTTTGGGAATAAATTTCAATTATAGAGGACAACGTAGGTAATTAAAACTTATTGGGGACTAATTTGGGAAAATCTCTTATTACAAATAGAGGTGCATACAAATCAAATAAAATGTATTCGATTCGTGATTCGTATTCGAAAAGGATGATTCGTATTCGCTATATTCGAATTCGAATCCGAATACAAATTATATTTTCGATTCGAATTATTTTCGAATTCGAATACAAATATTAATAGATTCGATTCGTTTATTATTCAAATTATTCGAATACTATATTTTATAAATAAATTTATATATATTCTAATATATTAAATATTTGTGTACATATTTTAACATATTTTAATATATTAAATTTTGTGTACATATAAATTTATATATATTCGAATATTATAATTTATAAATAAATTTATATATATTCTAACATATTTTTAGTACATTTTACATTATTATAAAATAATAATTTAATGTCTCTAAGAAATCTATTTTAAGGAAAAAAATTACAAATATTTTCAAATTCGAATATTCGAATACGAATTCAAATACGTCAAATATCTATCGGATCAAATACGAATGTTTTTTAAAGTTCGAATTATATACGAATCCGAATTCAAGTGCATATCACTTTAATCGAATAATGATATATTTTTTTGCTTCGATTCGTATACACTCCTAATTACAAAAGATTATTTTGGGAATTTACTTAGATTTTTTTATACTCGAATTTTTTTATACTTATGGAAATGAGAAATAAAGGGAATTGTATGATTTTAGGTGAATGGAAAATGCTTGATTCATGAAGAAAAAGTTTATAAACTTTATAAATTTACTATTTGTGAATTTCAATAAATAAAATTTAATAGTGTAAAATAAATTTAAAATTAAAATTTAAACTATAAATAATAAGTTTGTAAAGTTATTCAAAGCGGCTTCATAATTACCGATAAGACTTTTCAGAGCATCGAATGACGTCCATCCATCTACTTTAATTGCCTTCCTCCCCTTCTTCAGAACGAATGTGCTCTCTCTCACTCACTTATAATCTCGTTTCTTTTGTTTTCTTGGAGCTTCAAATAATCTCCTTGATCTTTCTTTTGCTGAAGCTTGATCCAGTCTTATTTTCTGGAAGCTTCATCGACTCTTTATTTTCTTGAAGCTGGACAAAGTTCTTGTCTTTTGACCATGGGAAACCTACGGTTTCGGCTAGATCTGTGTTTCGGTTTAACATACAGAAGCGGCGGTTGGTTACCGAAAAATTATGCCAGGGAATCTGAAGATTTCCGGCAGCTCTATGGCCAGGTCTAGATGTTCCCGCTCAGGTATGATTCTTGACTCGGTTGCTCTTCTTCTTCTTTTCTTGATTTCCGGCCGACTTTCTTCTTCTTCTTCTTGATTTCCCGGTGACTTGCCGGTAACCGACGGATACGTGAAAGCCTGAAAGGGCCAATAATAAAGTCAATATCGGGTCCGGTCAGCCCACCTGTTCTACCGGCCCAATCACCAACACACCCGATCCGTCACAAAACGGGTTAAATTTGTGACCCGCCATACTAAACTCCTATTTTTAAAGTTCCGTTATCAAGGGTTGTAAATTGACCCAGCCATCTGAACATCTCTCATAGTTCGACCTCCTCATAGCCGTTAGATTTCCCCAATTTCAACCGGTTATCAATGGTTGTAAATCAGCCCAGTCATCAATCCATACCTCCTCCATTTGATTTCCCCTCCTCCAATCAGCTTCTCCCCCTATAAATACTCCGGGAAAACTTTCTAAAGCCAAATTTTCAAATTTGAATATCCATCTCTACTGCAAACATGAATAAGGTTTGTGGCGTTTCTCAGAAGAAGGAGGCCTCCTAAAGGTCTTCACGATCAGAAGTTTCGTATGGATTCCGGTGCTTCCAAAAGCAGTGGTGGTCGCGGCAGACCTGCTCATGGTGCTCCAGCGGGCGGGGGTGGGTGCTCTGGCAAATTGAATTGTTGCTCCTGGTGCTCTGTCCGTTTGAATGGTTGCTTACTTTTATCACTGTTAATATCTAGGAATAATTTTCTGGCAATATATTGAAAAGCCAAAAGTATTTCCGTTTTGTTACACTGTACTTCACCTTTTACTATTGAGTGGCAATTAATGAATTACAGCTTTTCATCAGTAATTTAAACCAGAGACCCACTGATCATCGGTGGAGACCCACCGCGGTGACATTTCATAGAGATCAGGGTAAGATCCGAAAGTCTGCCGCAAACCACCAGAAGCTCCGCCGCCGACACCAAATGAACCCCGACTAGCGGTCTCATCTCACTATTGAACACCCCGCTGCGGATCCGATCTCCGAGCTTCTCCATCGTCCCTATAACCGTACCAATTCGGTGTTGAGGGATTCGATTTCTACAACTCGTTCTTGTTCTTGCCCAGTAATCCAAACACTATCGCCAAAAAAACCAGATGAATATTCAGAGAGTCCCAACTCTTCTTCACATCGCTCGGCCTAAACACAGAGCCACTAGAATGCTGAACGATGAAGAGTAGGAAAAGAATTGCACAGAGAAGGAGGAGGAAGACGAGGATGCCGGAGCTGAAAACGGTGGACTCGACATGGCGGCGGACGCGATGGCTGCAGCGGAGACCGGTGTCTCCTTGTGCCCAAAATGGACTAAACCCATCCCAGTCTTCTTCCATTTAGGCAAACAAAGGTAGCTTTGGGGATTTTCAGAACAAAAAAGAAAGATTCTTTTTGGGGTTTTGGAAAGATAAAGCTTCCCTTTTGAGTTTTACAGATAGAACTAAGTTTTTGAGCTTTGGGTTTCATTTATGATGAATTAATCGTAGCTCCACCGGATATATATATGCACTCTCTCTGACTCTCGCTGTCCAATAGTTGAACAAAATGAACTACTCCGTAACCCGAATATTCAATCTTATTTTGTAGTCATACTTAATTTATTGATAATTCTCATATTTTTTACTCTTTCATTACTATTTTTTTTGTTCATCACTTTCATTCTAAACTATTAATTGAACAATTTTTAGTGAATAATTATATTAAATTTACAGTACATATTAATGAAATGAAATAATTTTTTGAAAACTTTTTTATTTCAAAAATTATAAATTGGATAAATAATAGTGAAATTTGCACTGAATAGAACTAAAACATAAGTCATTTCCCAATGTAGGACTTAAATTTTTGTATTCTCTAAATAGAACTTAATAATGACTAGTGAGAAGAATAATGTCTAAGTGATGCTAAACATTTAGTTGAATAATGACTAATGGTCCTACATTAAGAAATAAAAATATATGGTCCTATATTGAGAAAGTCATTATGTTTTATTCCTAATGAGAAATGTTCTTCACGTGATTGAATCATGATAGAGAACGATCCGTAATTATAAACTTCACTAATTACTGGTCCTGACTAGTGAAGGCTATGACTTGTACTATTCCTTGCGACCTATTTTATATGATCTGTTATTGTTAATGATGTTTGATAAAATTATTTTTAATCAATTTATAAGACAACTGAGATGTAATTAACAATCTTTTTGTTGCTCCTGGTGCTCTGACCGTTTGAATGGTTGCTTACTTTTATCACTGTTAATATCGAGAAATAATTTTCTAGCAATATACTTAAAAGCCAAAAGTATTTCCGTTTTGTATTGCTGTGAGTCTTCCCTGCCTGAGTTTGAAACTTGAATGTCCCTGGGTTGTTACACTGTACTCTACCTTTTACTATTGAGTGGCAATTAATGAATTACAGCTTTTCATCAGTAATTTCAGCCGATTATTATAATTACCTCTGTTATACCAATACATACGGACTTGGGAGTATTTCGTATCTTTAATTCGGATTAAGAAAAGGTAAAGTAAGCCAATATAGGTATTATTGGTTACAATACTGCTCCGTACAAATTTATAACTTCTATCTTAAAATAATCGAATTTTTCTTTTAAAATTATTTCATTTTCAAACTAACATGAGTACTTCATCAAAGATACAAATACACATTTTAAAATTGCATTAAAAATTTTATAATCTTTCTGTTTTAATTCAAATTGTTTGTTAAAAGTGTTTTATATGAAATTTAAAAATAAAAACTACAATGTACACATTTAAGAACTACTTTAAACTATGGATAAGATTAGTGGTGACATTACCATATTGTTTTATCAAATTACTAATGAAAATAAGAAAAAAAAAAGTAAATAGTGTTTGACTTTATGAATAATAAACAAGTATACTTTATTTTGAAACAGTGGGAGTAAACCAAAATGTGAGTTGAACATTTTATTATTTTAGTAAATAATTAACAAATTCACATATGAGAATAGGGTTTAATAGGAGACTAGAACAAGTATTTTGGAACAGGTGCAGCAGATAAAAATTTGTAAATCAGAAAGCAGAAGATAATTCCTAAGGATGATATTGGGTTTAGATTAAAATTTGTTTCCATGGTACGGAGATGAATGATAATCTGATGGCCAAACTGACAAGGGAAGATGTTATGGAATGGAAGTTGATAAAAGTCTGCTTTTTACACCCAAGAGCACCCATCACCTGGGGAGAATTTGGGTTCATTGGGATACCCTATCCACTGTAAGGTGGTAAGGGCTATGAATAACAATAAGTTTGAAATCTTTTTGTGTATGGACATAATGAGGCATACAGAAGGAGGGAGTTGTGGTCAGACACCAGGAAGATTGCAGAGAAGATCCAAGGGGCCTGGTTGCTTGCTTGCTGGAGACTTTAATAATGTTCTTAAGGTTTGATGAAGACAGGATCGGGGGACTCCCTATCACCTTAGATGAAATAAATAACTTTAAACAACGCACCTTTGATTGTGGGTTGGAGGACATGCATGCCTTTGAAGGGATCCTATTACTTCACATGGTCCAGTAGACAGTGTCAGGAAATAAGGATCCACTCAAGGATTGACTGGGTGTTTTGCAATGCAGAATGGATGATTCGGTTTAGCACTAAGGTGTTGGTGAAAGATGGGCTATCTGATCGATCATACCCCTCCCTCTTCTTATTATTACTCAAGCTTTGTACCAAAGTAATAGAAGCTTCGGGTTTTGTGACACGTGCAAAATTGATGATTCTTTTGCTAAGATTGTTGAGAACGTTTGGAATAAGGAGATCCAAGGTAGGCCCATGTTTCAACTTTGCCAAAATTTTAAGATTATATCTAAGATTATTTGTAATGGACTTGAGATGATCCATCTCCTGTTGCAACATGATATACAAAGTTATATCTATGATTATTTGCAATGGACTTAAGATGATCCTCCCTGACATTGTCAATCAAAATCAGGGTGCTTTTATTCGTGGGAGCAAGTTAGTTCATAATGTTTTACTATGCTATGAACTGGCTAGAGGATACCATAGGAAATATGCTACCCCCAGATGTATGTTGAAACTGGATTTAAGAAAAGCGAATGATACTATGAGTTGGAAAACAATCATTCAAATCATGGAGCTACCAAATTTTCCTACCCAGTTTGTGTCTTGGGTGGCCTACTGCATCCAAACCACATCCTTCTCTATTCAACTTAACGGAGAAAAAGAATGGATTCTTCAAGTTAAGTCTTGGGTCCCCTCTTCTTTTTGTGTTAATTATGGAGTAGTTGACCATATTAATTCAGCATTATGGAGATTTCCTAAGATTGTTAATCTCAATTTTGCAGATGATCTTATAATTGTTTGTTTGCAGGGCTGATGATGATAAATCTGTGGATTGTATTATGAAGGCTTTGGAAATTTTGGCAATGCTACTGGCCTACAAGTGAACCCTGCTGCAAAGTACAAGATAGAATACTGAGGAAAACTAATATGGAACTGAGAACTCTACCTACCTGGGGAGCCCTATTACAGCTGCTCTAGGGTGAGTGAGAGAATGTGATATAGAATTTGCAGACTCTGTCATGTGGATCCTATTTGTGTTTTGTGTGATAAAGAAAATACAAGACATGGAGACTAAAAATCATCTCTTTTTTGCAAGTGTTCTTTCTTTCAAAAATATTTTATTTTGTCCACCTTACATTTTATATAACTTTTTGACTTATTAGAATTTGGGTACCGGTCCTGAGTCTCTAGAACTCTAGAAGGGCGCTGTGCAAAAGAAATATTGGGACTCCAATGACTCCATTATATTTGTTAGTCTCTTGTCTCAATTTAAGTTGAATGTAAACTATTTAATAAATCAGAGCTTAATCATTCTCTTCAATTATTTTCGTGACCCACTTAAAAAATAATACTATAATTTTGTCATCTATTATTTTATAAATTTTTTATGTTGTTTTAAATATATAAATTTTATTTATTAATTCTTTGCTAGTTTTCAAATAAATTAAATTCAAAATAATTTCATTCTTCGTAAACTATTGCATGTGACTCCTTTAATTACGGAGGGAGTACCAGTACAATGTGAAAAAAAATGTCATTGACTATAAAAAATTAATTACAGAAATTAAGCTAGGAAAACTTATTAAGAAACCATGTATTTAAAGATGAATATCAAGCAAAAATTACCACAGAAAATTTGGTTTTAAAAAATGATTACAAATTCCTAATATTAAAATAAATACTCCTATCAATAGAAATTTACTATGGAGTACTACTTATTATCCTACAATTCTTTTTATATATCCTAATTGATAGATTTTTTCAATGATAATTAGAGATAGAATCTAAAAAAATAAACCTGGAAAAAGATGATATCTACAATTAAGAAAATAAAATAAACTTAGGGATACACCAAAATGTGGTATTTCATTTGTACATCGGTCAAACATATAAACACGTCACACTTAGTGTCTGTGTATCACAAACACTAAATATATGTGTTTGTCTGTGTTTACATAGTGTACGAATAGAGTACTCTATTTTGGTGTATTCCTAAGATGCCCACAAACAAATAAGGTCTCCCACAATTGGGTGTGTTTTACACGGTAATTTATTTGTCGGTTTCCTCATGCATTAAAATAATAGGATGCTACGATAGATGGGACTGAGAAATACTCCCTCCGTCCTATATCTTTCTTCCCGTTCCACAAAACGAAGAAAAATCCCAAGTTTTTTCAATCTATTTTATTTCCAAGTTTTTTCAATTTATTTTATTTAAATATTGGTATAGAAATAAAAAATAAAACATACATATTTAAAAACTACATCAAAAGTTCAACAAAACAAGTGGTGACAAGAATATTTTATTTTATCATATAGGCCATGAAAAAACACAAATAAATATAAATTTCCGTGAGGTTGGAATAGTGCTCTGGGAAGAAAGTTTCAGGACGGAGGGAGTATGTTAAATAATGGTGGGACTATTGTTCAATCTAAAATTTTATGAAAATGAATTTAATTAGGTCACCTGCCACTTCACATCTCCACCCTTTGTATGTTAAGAGCATTCACAATGGCAAGACAATGTCTTGTCATGCCTAGCCATATCAGCAAATGTCACTCAAATCATGATGACCAATTCCAATCAACTTACTCATTTGAAAGGAAAAATGAACGCACACAAAGGAAAAAATAAACTGCACCTGAGAAAGTAAATCTTGCTCCAAGAGCCACGGGATGTAAAAGAAACACCTCAAAATTGTATGGATCCCGTGGCTTGATGCTTTGTATACGGTTAGGTTGAGCGAACTCCTTTTTGCTTTCTATACAATTAGATTAGATTGAGGCTTAAATAAATGCAAGTATAACAATAGAGAGAACAAAATCCACTTTGAACTAACTCTATTTGATATTCATAGTTCTTATTTTCTTTTTGTTTTAGTTCACCAAAGAACAACAACTCATTGCACTGTTGCTCACCTATGGTTTGGTGATTACCAACACCGTGTCGGACAGCAATTACAACTCGGAGTACGTGTGCCTCTATTTTTCTGTTTAATTTTAATCATTATTTTAAATGATTCAAATTCTGTTATACTGCATTTATGCTTTTGAATAAAAAACTGGAATTAAAAAAAACGGCTTTATTCCTTTCAAATTTAAGTTTAAATTTAGAGATAATACTCAAACAAAGTTTAAACATTGATTTTAGTATCTCGGGCTAATTTTTGGGTTATGACTTACAGAATTTGATTGATGTTAAGTAAGTTAGTCTAATCCCAAACATTAATAACTAGAATATCATAGTCACCCATCCTAATCTTAGATTGTTAAGTTATGGCTCTTTTGGCAGCTACATACTTACTATACACCTCTATTTCTCTATTTATTCTCACCTAAATTTTTTTATGGTTCAATTCTTGATTTATCGA